AAACTGATCAGTGGCTGATTCCAGGAAGCTGGGGGCAGAGCAATTCTGCCTCCAGCTTCCTGTAGTCAGCCCCTGGTCAGTTTCAGCAGCAGTGGCTGAATCTGGAGCCAGTTCCGACTTACATTCAAATTCAACTTAAGAACAAACCTGTAGTCCCTCTCTTGTATGTAACCCGGGGACTGCCTGTAGTAGATGTGCATGTGAATGAGCCTTTGATGGCATAGCTGATATGGTTGGGTCCTGCAATGGTGGTGTCATTAAGATAGACATGTGGGCAGACCTGGCACTGGGTTTGTTGTCCCATCCCCCCCCCACCAGTAAACTTTTTAGCAGGCTAGCCAGCCTGGCTCATACCAGGTCCGGGACCTACCTCTGCTGTGGCTCTGCGTTTAAAGTGTATTAGGAGCCGAGTGGGCAGGCAGCCTGGCTCAGTTCTGGTTCGCACAAGGTCTGGAAGCTCAGACTCCCTTCCCCCCCAGAAAGGGGCTGCTGACACCCCACACTCCTGCGTCTTTATCAGAGGCAGCAGCACAGGGCGAAAAGCAGCCAGACCGCAAGAGGAGCTGTTTTTTAAACTGGTTCCCCTTGTGGACTAGCTCCTGCCTGGCACCCCGCACAGCTGCCGGCCCTGCCCCCAGGGATTATATAGTAGTCTACTAACTGATAAGAATTCATGAGGGTACTCAACTATTCAATTAACTGACATTTTACATCCCTACTTGAAAGTGTACATCTGAGTTAAATTACTGTGGTTTTTGTTTTTTTCTGACTTCCTCGGTATTCTATTAAATGTGCATTTCATGTGGGAGTATAGACAATACAGCTCTCCTCATGGGAGTCAATAGTGTTCTGAGGAAGGAAGTTGCCTCACCAGAGGCAAAGGAGCAAGCTGGAAGAGAGCTGCTTAACCTAACCTGTGCCAGAGATCAATGAAAGGAAGTTCTGTGCTGTTGAAATTGACGGTGATGGTGCTCCTTGATTTTGAAGGAATGTGTCTGCTTCCTATGGACAAATTGTTTTGGATCATTGATCTGTGGAAAAGATACCAGCTGGCCACTCCCCCATGGGGATTTAAATAATTAACTAAGCCTGTTTTGGGGAGCCTCTGACAGTTACTTCACACCGTTAGCTTGTGTGTGTTTATGTATTTACTATTGGGGAGCCTCTGACAGTTACTTCACACCGTTAGCTTATATGTGTGTTTATGTATTTACTTAAAGTTGTAACTATTAGAACCAACACAAATGCATAGGCAAGACAAATGACATTTCAACTTTTCCAAGTTATCTAAAAATAGTTCCCTAATTTTTCCATTAATAACAAAAGCTTTAATAATGTGTTTCTTGTCAGACCAGAGAGCGCATGGAGCAATTTAAATTGGATGACCGGGTGCTCTGTCTGCATAGTAGATGGCGAATCCTGTATGCAGGCCTGGCCAATGGCAATGTGGTCACTTTCACCATAAAGGTTAGTGTATTTGAAAACTGGCATGTTAACTCTTATCAAAACAGGGTTAGCAGATACCATTCTTTTTTTCCTCTCCACCCATTTCCTGCTTTCAGTTACATTTTTGTCTCTTGAATCTTCTTGCTATACATACCTGATTTTTTAATATAAATTAGTTTTTCCTGCTTTCAGTTACATTTTTGTCTCTTGAATCTTTCTTGCTATTCATACCTGATTTTTTTAATATATATTAGTTAAGTCATTTTCTGTTTAAATATTTATATGTCCCTCAATGAACTTTCTCCCCTTCTCCTCCTTCCATCTGTCCCTTGTATCCTCATAGGAATTCCCTTTCCTGCTGCAAGGCTCCCTTGGGTTAAACTTTTGCGGGTGATGAAGATGGCTAATCATGAGGCCACAGTGTTTTAAATAAAAATACAAACGTAACCCTTTACTTGCTTAGATTGACTCCAGGGTTACTGCTCAAAACTATCCTAGCAAAATAAGTGAATGTTGCAAGGGGATCTAAAAAGAGGGCTCGAGCAGAAGTATTATGCCAGAGAAACTCAAATTATCTTCACAGAATTCTCACATACTAAACGTGAAGAAACACAATTCATAATCTGTGGTAGTTAAATAATGAAATATATAAGTTCATATGCCTCATCTAGCAATTCTGTTTTTCTACTAGTGAAGAATTACCATTTCTTGCTACCAGTCAAATTGTAAGCACAACTCACTTGAAAGAGACTGACTAAATTTGTTATTCAAAACTAACTAAGTTATGATACTTTAAGTATTCCTAATTTATATCAGAGTGAACAAAGAATTTGCTTTAAATATTTAGATTATATTTTAATCTTAAATAGTGTTCTATCACTATTAGTAGTGGTAGTTATACCTCTTGGGCTGTTTTAGGTATGTACAAGAGTAATATCAAATATACCTCAATTGTACCCTGGAAGGAGGATGGACTCAGTGGTCTAAATTCCTTTCAGTCTTTTAACTTCTTTATTTTACAGAACAATAAACAAATTGATACCTTTGAATGCCATGGCCCTAGAGCCGTCAGCTGTCTAGCCACAGCTCAGGAAGGAGCACGAAGGTTGTTGATAGTAGGATCCTATGACTGTACTATCAGTGTGCGGGATGCTCGAAATGGACTGCTTCTCCGAACTCTTGAAGGTCATAGCAAAACAATACTCTGTATGAAGGCAAGTACCTTGGGAAGTAACTCTATGAAGTTTATACTGGTATAACTAATTTTGGTTAAAAATATGACTTTTGCGAAGGAAATATTTGTGCTGAATCATTTCTTATCCTAGTATGGATGCGAATTATACCAGTGGAAAGCTGCCTTAGGCTAGTGTAAATGATTATCTTAATAAATAGATCTTGAATAAAGATCTTAACTGGTTAATGCACTAAAAGGGCAGTTTGCTCGCTTTTGTTGTTAACATCTCCACGTAAAATGCTGTGAATGAGTCACTTACACCCTGACTTAATTAGCTTCATTAACACCGGTCATACAATTGCCAGGTAACTGCTTTTGCTGTTGTGTGTGTATATATACCCCAAATTCTGTAATTTGCACTCCAGCTCATCTGATGAAGTGGGTTTTACCCTTGAAAGCTCATGAACTAATCGCACTCCAGCTCATCTGATGAAGTGGGTTTTACCCGTGAAAGCTCATGAACTAATAAATTTATTAGTCTCTAAGGTGCTGCAAGAATGCTTGTGATTTTTTTTTTACAGTTACAGACTACCACAGCTACCCCTCTGATTTTATATTTAAAAAAAAAAAAAAGGATTGGTGTAGCTCATTATTTTTCCTATATGGGAATAGCTGTACTGGTATAACTGCATCCATCCTAATAGTGTTGCACCACTTCAAGTATATGGAAAAATGGTACAAGTTCTTTTATGCCTTTAATGATCAATAATAATGTGCCCACTCTAATATAAAGCATAGTGCATGTTTTCTGCATCTGCTTTAACTAAAACAACAACAAGCTTAATATACTGAAAGATACATTTTAAGTGATTTACAAGTAATTAGACATAAAGGTAAGAAATCTTTACAAGAAAATAAGTTAGTTGCATTTTACTTTTTAACAGGATAAATGAATCCAAAGCAGAGGTCTCTCACCACATATGCTTCAGCAGTCTTTCTGGCTGGATTTCCCTTGGCAACAATTCCTCCCCCAGTTCCGTGTTACTGTCCTTGTCCTTCAGGTGTTGCTTATGCCACGGGCAGACAGAAAGGGGGGAATCTCTTGGGGCATCTGTTCCTCTTTCTTACCGTTTTCTCTTTCTTTGAAAATCACCTCCAGCTGGGATTAAAGAGACAAAGTGACAGAAAGGGGGGAATCTCTTGGGGCAGCTGTTCCTCTTTCTTACCGTTTCTTACGCCAAAAAATGGTTGCGTAACAAGGTGATAGTCTATCTTATTATGTTGACACCACCTGGCTGAAGTGTTTGCCTTTTTGTTTCTGAGGAACTGATTTGTGGCTTTATATTGCAAATTGGAATATGTCTCTAATATACTGTAGAATCTCACCTGGCTGAAGTGTTTGCCTTTTTGTATTTGTGGCTTTATATTGGAATATGTCTCTAATATAAGATTCTACTGTATAACATTACATACACAATGTTGTCATACACATTTTACCAGGGCAAGAATTATCAGCAAATTGAATTTTCAAATGATGCCTCATAAGGCATATTTTGTACAAAATTGATATCCTTTATAAAAGGGATGAACATAAGGGTACAGACCTGTCACAGAAGCCTATTTGCTACTTAAACAATCTGATGCTTAAAGTAGTTGTACTGAGTGAGTTTCATTGTCCTGTTCATAATAGATTTTGTTGGTCCCCAACTTCTAAAGAAAACAATAGATTTTACAATTAAACATTTTATTTGACTCAAATACACAACTGTCTTTGTTCAGTATGTGGGTTGGTTCTTTTTAAATAAAAATTTTAATATTTGTGGAGATATATATGTAATGTATAGAAATGTCACCGTTTGCCTTTTGGGCAAACAAGATTAAAAGACTAGAAGGGTAGACAGTACAGGAGGAAGTATTTGTGAAGGCAATAATTCCTTTTGAAATACTATATTGCTGTTTTAAGCAGATCCTTATTCCCATAGTGTGCACTTGTGGTTTCACTCACATGCTAAATGATACGTAAGTCAAAACTGTTATTTTTGTCCTCTTAAAAAGGTTGTGAACGATTTGGTGTTCAGTGGCTCCAGTGATCAATCTGTCCATGCCCACAATATACATGTAAGTTATTCAAACTTTTGAATCCCTAAATAGCTTTTACTGTTGAGTTGATAAAAGCTATGAGAATTTCTTTGCAAGTCTATATGCCTAAGAGGATATGGTGACTCTTACACTGTGTTGTATAGTACCTTATTGTCTGGGGAACTCAAAGCACACCTTTCATTCACAAGCTATAGAAAAATTGGAGAGGGTTAGGAACTCAAAGCACACCTTTCATTCACAAGCTATTAGAAAAATTGGAGAGGGTTTAGAGAAGAGCCACAAAAATTCAGTGGATTGGAAAACATGCCTTATAATGAGAGATTCAAGGAGTTAACCTTCTCTTTGATAAGCTAAATATAGATAAGGGGTGACTTGCTCACAGCCTATAAGTACCTACATATGGAACAGAGTTCTTTGCTGTCGCAGACAACTATATTACAAGATCCAGTGGCTCAAAGTAGAAGCTAGACTAATTTAGACTAAAATAAGGCGTGTGTTTTCTACAGTGAATAATTAACCATTGGAAAACCTTACCAGGGGTTGTGGTTAGGGATGTTAAAAATCATGTAATAGGGCAACCGTGTAACCTCTGAAAATCTCAGTGGTTAAACAGTTACCCATGTTGAGGTCTTGAGTCCGCAGTGAAGCTTCTCTGGGAGCAGGGCCAGCAGTGCCTGCCGGCCTGGGTCCTGAGGAGGGGGTTTCGCTGCTGCTGTGCAAGTAGATAAAGAAGTACTAATTGCTCCTTCTCATAACACAAGAATTAGGAGGTCTCCAAAGGAAACTATTAGGCAGCAGGTTTAAAAAAAACGAAGTGTTTCTTCACACAATTCAGTCAGCCGGTGGAACTCCTTGCCAGAGGATGTTGTGAAGGCCAGGACATCAACAGGGTTCAAAGGATTGGCCCATCAATGGCTAATAACCACGATGTGCCAGGATAGTGTCCTTAGCCTCTGTTAGAAGCTGGGAAGGAGCAGGGAATGGATCACTAGATAATTACCTGTTCTGTTCATTTCCTCTGGGACATCTGGCATTGGCTGCTGTCAAAGATAGAATAATGGGCTAGATGGACCTTTGGTCTCACTCAGTATGGCCGTTCTTATGATTTAATGGGTGTTCTTTCTTCCTTGTCTTGGCACAGACAGGGGAGTTGGTACGAATCTATAAAGGCCATAATCATGCTGTGACTGTTGTGAACATCCTAGGGAAGGTGATGGTGACTGCCTGCTTGGATAAATTCGTCCGTGTTTATGAGCTGCAAGTAAGAAAATAAGTTATCTTGTTGAACATCATTTATCTATTCCATTTTTTATACATTACAAAAGATCCAGAGTAAAAAACCATATTCAGAGAGGCCAAGAGAATTGCCGGGCCCCCAGGCAAGGTGGGTAGGCATCCAACTCCCTGCTCCCATAATAGGCAGGTCAGGAGGCAGCCAGCCCTCAGTGCTGCCTCCCCAGCCTTCTGCCAGCACTCAGAGCATCCAGAGCATGGTGCACGGCACTCTGGTGGTGATTTAAAGGGCCTGGGGGAGCCCCAGGTTCTTTTGAATCACTGGCCCTAAGACAACTGCTACTTCCTCCCCACCCTCCTTCAGTAGACTTGGCCACACTAATCATCTTTACTTTCTAACTTCCAGCCCCTCTCTCTTCTGCTACTTAAAATTCTCATCCTTCTCCTTTACTAATAAACTGTAGAGTTGTAGATCATCAACTTGCATGTGCCAGGCTGGTTCTCTGTTGCTCTCATTTTAACTATAAAAGACAATGAAGTTTTTACATATAATTCTGAACAATTCGTTTTCTTCTCTTGTAAAGGTCGAGTGACATGTACTTTGTCTATGTAAACTAGATCAGCTTAATATCCTCTACCTAATGGTCAGTACTCTCATGCAGAAAACAAATTGGATTCTCATAGTATTTTGTGTGCTGACTTGGCGAGAGCTGGGAAGATTAGTGAGGCAATATCCGTAGCTCCTGAAGAACAAATGCTTTCTAAACAATCCCTCCAAGTGATTAGTGGTGTTAACTGGTTCTTAAGGGAGTTGAGTCCAGCCTTTCAATAGCCCTGAAAGAGCCGAGTGAGGAAAAATGATGGGATCCTTTCCACTAACTAAGAAATTCATAGTAGATAGTACAATGTGATTGTAGGATGTGGTGCACACAAGGATTTTACAAGTCTCATTTAATAGTGAGTCTCCTAACTCTTTTAAAAAAATCACCATTGATTATGGAAGCCAACAAAAAAAATGCCTGCACAATGTCAAACTATTAAATGCTTGACTATTTGTTTCTTTTCTTACCAAGTCTCATGACCGTTTGCAAGTCTACGGAGGACACTCAGATATGATCATGTGTATGACTATTCATAAGAGCATGGTAATTATCCTTTCTTGGATCTAAAATAGAAGTCTTGTTTGTTAACTGCTTGAATGGGTGATGGTGGTGTTGATTCCAGATTTTATTGATATCTGAGGTAGATAATTTTAATTATTTTAACTTTCCTGACTTTCTACTAAAGAGAGGACCATTTAAAATGGCAGTCCAAAGAAAAATAATGATAAACAGCATTTCTATATTAATTATATATCAAGGTAACTATAGCAATGTAGCAATTCTGGAATGTAACTCAGATGCTAAATTGTGTTGGGGAAATTGAACTGTCTGATTTGCTAATATTGTATCATCTCATGACTGTAGCTCTCTGTTAGCCAGACATTAGTTTGTTTCATCTTCATAGTGTGCATTGTTACTATAATCGAAAGTTAGTTTTCAGACCCTAAAATGATGCTTTAGGTGTAACTGTCCTGTTTCAGACATTTTCTCTAGCAGCTACAGTATATGATTAGACTTAGTAGGATTTCACTAACCACTTCCAACGTTCAGGACCACACTTTCAAATTAACACATGCTGAAGTGCTTGCAACATTTTTTACTGATTTGTATATACAAATACCCTAATGTACATGAGAATTAAGGTTTCTAGTACATACCAAGGTATGAATGCTTGCCTGCTTAAGCTGAATGCCCTTAAAAATTCTTACGAATGTGCAGCTGAAAACTTGTTCCTAAAAATTGAGAGCTAAAATGGAAAGTGCTTAATATTTCTGAATTTTAAAATTATAATAACAAAAGAGTGAAGTGTAGGAAAACTGAGAAGCACTGCAGTAAGAGAAAATTATATTTTTTCTTAGCTCCACTTCTCATGGGGCTGAAGTTGAGATTTAACTGTGCCCAAGCTGTGTGACGGTGGTCCAAGATTTATGCTACACTGTATTTCTAAGGCTTATCATATAGCTGCTAGAGACAATGTCTGAAGCAGGACACGCTGAAAGAGTTACAATTTAGGGTTTTGATATTTTCACTGTTTTGATTATAGTAACAATGCACACCATGGAAATGAAATTAATGCCATATGTCTGGCTCAGAGAGCTACAGACATGAGATGATCCAGTATTAGCCTTAAGCATCTAAATACAAATGAAGCCTCAGTTCAGGTGTCAGTAAAGTATGCTATACAATGGACATTTTCTTACTCTTCTATATTTGTTTGAACACTAGAATGTAGTCTCTTCCATGCTGTACATAT